GCCCAGGGAAAGGAGGAGTCGGGGGAGCCCAGGCTGAGCCCCGGTGGGGAGCCCCGAGAGGGAAAGGGGAAGAGGAAAAGGGACAGTGAGGAGCAGCCCAGTGCGCATAAACAGAAGAAGCTAAAGACAAAACAGCCCCGCAGCCCTTCGGAAGAAAGGGCTGACACTGAGGAGGCAGCAGATGGCAGCAGCCCCACAAAGAAGAAGAAAGCAAATAGAAGAAAATCGAAAGTGCAGCAAGAGGGGACTGAAGCAGGTGAGGATAAAGTGAGGCTGTAGGATTTCAGTTCATTGTGGTTGGCAGTTTCCACAGAAAAGTGGACACGAGTTGCTCTTTGAGTACTTTCCCCAGTTTACCTGGTTTTGTTTTCATCTCCTTTTTTTTTCAAGGGAAGGCCTCATACTGTGAACTTTGAGAATCAGTTAATGTAAGGACAGGAGGGAAGCACATCACATCACCTCAGTCTTGTTGTGTCTGTACCACCAAAGAAATGTTTGTCCTCTCCACTTGGCTTTAGGAGAAAAGAGCTTGCAAGTTGTTGCTTAAGTCCCGTGTTGTAACATTGCCAATTCCCTTTTCTGTGGTCTGACCTGTGGCTTTGTGTTGCTGTCACCCAAATTCCAGATTCTGAAGAAGACATCAAACAACAGGACAACAGAAACAAGCTTAAAAAGAAGTCTGATAAGGGGAGGAAGACAGATGAGGAAACACAAGGAGATGAAACAGAGAAGAAAGAGAGCGGTGAAAAAGCTGAAGAAAATAAAACTCCAGAGGAGGAGGTGCCCTCAGGGGCAGGGGCAGATTGTGCCCCCTCCAGTATGATGATCCTTGGAGACTACGAAGCAAAGCCAGTGCAGAAGGTAAGGAGCCTGACTGAATTTTGGTGATGGACAGGAAAAGAATGCTTTTTACAAGTCTATTTTACATGTGGTGTGCTGTATTCTCCTTCCCCTCAGGTGCAGCCCTTCCTGCCTCAGTGGCTTGCTGAGCCCCGGCGGGTGCAGAAGCGCATCAGGGACAATCTGTGTCCAGTCGGGGACGTGCCAGGAATCCACCCCAGGCTGCTGAAAAAGCTGCAGATGAATGGAATAGACTCCTTTTTCCCAGGTGCCTTTCCAGTGCTTCTGTTTCTTTCTAAAGGGACTTAAAGAGTTCCTGCAGTTTGGTGCTGTGTGTTTTGTGTAGGCACTGAAGTAAAACAGGACAAAATGGAAGTGATTGTGGGAGATTTAACCCTTCTTTCCCAATGCTTTGTCTGGGCTGAGCAGAAGTCTGTTACCTGCTCATAAATACAGCTTGGAGTGAAGGCTCAGAGCTGCCCAGAGAAAGAAGTTTTAACTTGTGTCCTCACACTTTTCTGTGATGGTGTTCACAGGGTCCCAGGAAGAGGGAAGAGATGAGGATCTGACTCCATGTTTCAGAAGGCTGATTTATTATTTTATGATATATATTATATTAAAACTGTACTAAAAGAATAGAAGAAAGGATTTCATCAGAAAGCTAGCTAAGAATAGAAAAGGAATCATAACAAAAGCTTCTGTCTTGGACAGAGAGTCTGAGCCAGCTCACTGTGATTGGCCATTAATTAGAAACAACCACATGAGACCAATCCCAGATGCACCTGTTGCATTCCACAGCAGCAGATAATCAAGGTTTACATTCTGTTCCTGAGGCCTCTCAGCTTCTCAGGAGGAAAAATCCTAAGGAGAGGATTTTTCATAAAACATGTCTGTGACAGTTTTCCTCCTTGTGGAAGCTTGTGCTTCAGCTCCTTCCTTTCCACTGATCAGAGCTTTCTGGGAACTCATTCAGCTTGTTAAAGCACTACAAAAATATCCAAACAAAAAGAGAAATCTGTTTGCTTTCTGTTATTTTGCCAGTTTTGCAAACAAGTACAATAAATGCCAGTTGTTAAAAAAGAAGAAAGGACAGCTGGATGCAAGGACAGAGGGTGACCTTAGTCCTGGGGACTTAGGCTGTGTCTGAGGCCTATCAGGGAAGCCAGCACACAGTATATATACATATATACGCATATACCTGTACATATATGTACATATATGTATATATATGAAACTGCAATATTATATATATAACTGCAATATATATATATGTGTATATATATGTCTCAGTTATTATAGTGTAAAGGTAGAATTTGAAGAGGGCGAGTTTAGGGTTGTAAATGATAATGATTGCTGTAAATGATAATGATTGAGCTGAGAGATGGAAGAAAAGGCTAGGATTTTTTGAATTTGTGTTTGGTTGAGTCCTGTTCATCCTCCCAGGGCTGCTGAGATGATAGTCAGGATAGTGAGGAGTTTAGTGAGGGTGAGGTTATGTAGAGTAGTGTGATTGGAGGGAGTATTACGACCGTGAATAGGAAATGCTTTTATGCAACATTTTCAGCTCTGCTTTTCTGTAACATTTCCAGCTCTTGGTGGGTTGGTGAAGCATACAGTGAGTGTGTGTTTGTGGTTTTGCTCAGTGCAGGCAGAGGTGATCCCTGCCATCCTGCAGAGTGCAGCCCATGGGTTCCTGCTGGGCCGGGGCGGCTTCCGCCCCAAGGACATCTGTGTGTCAGCCCCCACGGGCAGTGGCAAAACCCTGGCCTTTGTCATCCCCATCGTGCAGGTGAGCCCATCCTCTGGGAAGCAGCTCTGGAAAAGTGCTGGCATTGCTTTTGTGGGGTGGTGTTCACAGGGGTGTTAGCATGAGGGAAGAGACGAGGATGTTGACTCTATGTTTCAGAAAATATGAATTATATCATATATCATATGCTAAAATATATTGTATGTTATATATTTATATATTATATCTAAATAATATAGTAACACATTAATAATGCTATATAATAATATATACAATTTTTTATTTATATATATATACATATTATATAAACTATACTAAAAGAATAGAAGAAAGGATTTCATCAGAAGGCTAGCTAAGAATAGAAAAAAGAATTATAACAAAAGCTTGTGACTGACTGAGACAGTCCAGACAGCTGGACTGTGATTGGCCATTAATTAGAAACAACTACACAAGACTAATCACAGATCCTCCTGCTACGTTCTACAGCAGCAGATAATCATTGTTTACATTTTGTTCCTGAGGCCCCTCAGCTTTTCAGGAGAAAAAATCTTAAAGATTTTTCATAAAACATGTCTGTGACACTTTTGTTCAGGCAAAACCTGAACTTCAAAGCAAGTGGAAAAGCCAAGGGATTTGTGGGTATAAGGCAGCAGATTGGCAGCTCAGAGCTGTCTGAGGGAGCTTCTTGTCAGCTTCCCACTCCTTTTCTCAGACAGCAGGCACAGCATGAGGAGTTGGGAGGGTGTAGGGAGAAAAATGGAAACATAAAACTGGGAGAATGTTTTATGTTTTTTACCATCTTCCCTCACTAGTTAAGCCCAAGAACCCTGTTCTGCCCTGTGCTGTCAGGGACTCACTGGTCTCTGTTTTGGCAGGTTCTGTTGGATCGAGTGGTTTGCCACGTGCGAGCTCTGGTTGTTCTGCCCACCAAAGAGCTGGCACAGCAGGTATGTGACTCCTCACCATAGCTGGGCTGAGGGGCAGGCTGTGCAGCCAGTGCTTTGGCTGTCCTGTGGAGCAGGCTAGGACCTGCCAGAGGGTTTGATGCTGTTCATGTGATGGAAAGTACTCCCTGCAGCTGACAAAGCCTCTTGACCTCTTTGCAGGTGAGTAAAGTGTTCAACGTTTACACTGACGGGACAGGGCTGAAGGTCGTTTTGATTACTGGCCAGAAATCTTTTGCAAAGGAGCAGGAGATGCTTGTCCAGAAAAAGTAGGTGAAAAGGTATTTTGACAAGGTTTATAGAGATTGCATGCTAATTAATGTCATTAAGGTGGGGTCAAGATATGGACTATTGCAGCACAGCATCAGGCTTTTATCATGGTTTTGGATAATGGGTTTATATGCTGGACTATCATGGTTTTGGATAATGGGTTTATTGGCCTGGACTATCATGGCATTGGATAATGGGTTTATATGCTGGACTATCATGGCTTTGGCTCTCATGGTTTTGGATAATGGGGTTATATGCTGGACTATCATGGCTTTGGCTATCATGGTTTTGGATAATGGGGTTATATGCTGGACTGTCATGGCTTTGGCTCTCATGGTTTTGGATAATGGGGTTATATGCTGGACTCTGGTGGTTCTGTCTTTGTCACAGTGCTTTGTTACTCACCCTGTTTTGTGCTTGTAATGTTTCACTGGATTTTTGGGGTTCTTCACCAGCAAATGCTCAGAATGCAAATGTTTACCTTATGCCCATGGGTACACGTGACCGTGTGGGGTTTTTCTGCAATTAAACTCTTTTGAAGAGCAATGAAGAGTGACACTTTCTGTTTAAAATAAGGCAGCACAGTGGAGACTGGTGTTTGGTGTCCACCACTGCCCCTGCATGCTCTCCAGTGTCAACTCCATTTGTGAATTTTGTTATTCCTCAGTTAATTGAGGGGTAGGAAAACCTTAAGGTCTCTGCTACAGGTTTTATTGTGAAGAGAGAGACTTAGTGATGGGCTGCTTGTCCTTTCAGAGTGACAGGCTACTGCAGCCTGGCTGACATTGTGGTGGCCACGCCAGGGAGGCTCACGGATCACATCAACCAGACCCCAGGCTTCAGCCTGGCACAGCTTCGCTTCCTGGTGAGTCACCAGAGCTCTCCCATCTGAGAGCAGTGTCTGCTGCAGCAGTAATTCCTGCTTGCTTCTTGTGTGCAACAGAAATTCCTCCCTGTTGGAGCTGTTGTGTGGGCCTGTCTGCACTCCAGATTGAGGAGGGAGCAGTCACAAGATGAGATGTTTGATTCCAACTCGTGACACCCAAGCATCCACCCACTTCCCCTTCTCTCTGAGGCTCTTGCAATCTTGGAGTAAGGATGGGAAAGGAAAGCAATTCTTTTGACTAGAAGCTTCCATTATCTTCCTTCTGGCTCACTGGTTACAGATACAAAGGAAAATAAAACCTGCCAGTATTTAATAAGTGGTGATTTTTATCCTTGTGAACTCAGATCGTGGATGAAGCTGACCGTATGATTGATGACATGCACCAGAACTGTCTGAACCAAATTGTCAGAGCTGCATTCCAAGGAGAAAATCACTCTGGCTCCAACAAGCTTTTTCAGAGGACCAAGCCAGGGCCTTTAACAGCAGCCAGGTAAGTTGCAGAGTGCATTTCTTTGAACTGATAGCACCTGGATGTCACTGCCCTGCCACACAGAGCCTCAAAGCTTCGTTCCTCTGGGAAATGTCTGCCAAAATAATGCCAGAGATGTCCTTCAGACTAAGCATTGTGTTCTCCAGGCTTTCCTTATGTGGACTAAAGGAGCATCAAAAGAAAGCACAAACATTGCAAATCTGTGATCCATTTGCACAGTAACTGTAGCAATGCCTTCTGGCACTGCAGAGTCATGGATTTGGAGGAAAACTCTTGCTGCTAACTATCTGCAGCTGCTGTTTTTGTACAGCAGTGGCAGAGATGTGTCAGAAACTGAGGGGCATGGCCAAGGAAGGGCGTGACTAGAATGAGGACAGGGGTAACCAGGGTGCAGGTATTTGTGTAGGAGTAATGGATTGGGGTTGTGCACTTGACTGAGAATGTTCATCAGTTCTGTCTGTGAACTCCACCATAAAACAAGGATGGAAAAGAACCCAGAGGAAAGGCCCAGGGCAGGAAAAGAGCACCAAAGAGCATTGACTGCTTCCCTTACATCATGTGAAGGCACTTGGGGTGAATCTCCTTTGCCCCATCCTCAAAGCCCACTTTTTCTTTCAGTTCCTGCTCTCCTCAGATACCCTTACAGAAACTGCTGTTTTCAGCCACCCTGACCCAGGACCCAGAGAAACTGCAGCAGCTGGATTTATTCCAGCCTCGTCTCTTCACATCTGTGTATTCCGAGAAAAGCAGAGATGGAACAGAAACTGAACAAAATACCAATAATAAATACACACTCCCAGAGGGGCTGTCGGTATGATGTGAATTGTTTTTAATAAGTTATGCTTGAAGATTTAATTCTGGACTAATTGTGGTTTTACCCTAAAACAAGTGTGTCTTCCCTGTGTTTCCTTGCAAAAGTGGCTTTGGGAGTATATATGACCCAGAGAGCTGTGCCTTTGCACATTTGTTTTCTCATTACTTAATGTTCATTTGGTTAAGACTTGATTATTTTTTAAATTAATCTGCCTTTGTGTGGAATTAAATTTAGCAGCAATGGGGAGTGGAACTAGGAAGTCATGATGATGTAGTAGCCCCTATCAGTTGTCCATATGTGTAACATTCATTTCAAGACATGTGTGCACAGGCCAGGCTGTAGGCAGCAGGGCAGTGCATGCTGTTCCTTGCTGTGGAGGTGTAAGGGCATGAGAACAGCTCAGCTCTCCTGTCTCCACTCGGGTTGTGTCTCCCAGCCTGTTTGTTCTAAAAGGATTGCATGATGGGCTCTGGTTTTGCTGCTGTTAGTCAGCTAGGAAACATTCAGGCCTGTGTAGGTCATGGACAGGCAGTGGGGTTTCAGGGAAGTCTTGGCAAGAAATGATTTTTGTCTCTGAACTCCTTCCCTGTTGACAGCAATGTTATGTGCCTTGTGACCTGAACTCCAAGCCTTTGATCCTCTTATATTTCATGCTGAAAATGAAATTCACCCGTGTGTTGTGCTTCACCAACTCCAGGGAAGCCTCTCACAGGTAAACATGAATGAGATCACTGCTGGGGATTGTCAGGGGATCTCTGAGAGATAAAGAAGTGACAGTTTCTCTCTCATTTACCTGCAGGTTGTTCCTGCTGGTTCAGGCCTTTGCTGGAGTCACAGTGGCAGAGTTTTCTTCTCGGTTAACTCCAAATGAGAGAAAGAGAACCATGAAGGAGTTTGAGCAAGGAAAAATACAACTGTGAGCATCTTAAACTAGTTTTCCTGTATATTTTCCAGCACAGGCTGTTTGCAGTATAAAAAGCTAAAAGAACAAGGGACACAGTTGGGTCCAGGGTGGGACAGTTGGGACACAGTTACTTGGGTTCTTCTAAAACATGCCGGAGTTTGTTGCAGGAGGGGTGTGAGACTTGGATTTGTAACTTTGAATTGTTTATCCTTCATGTAACTCAGCCTGTTCTAATCTAGTTCCAGTCTGAGTTTTACTGTTTTATAACAAGCAATTTAAACAAATGTGTGTTCATAGAGTTGCCAAAACACACAGGTGTGCAAATCCGGAGTTTAATTTTTGTGCTAGTAGGGTGGAAATGGATGTTGGTGCTGAAACTGTATTTAGTGTTACAGCTTCCTACCAAAGCAATCCCTGCTCAGACTGGCATACAGGTCTCCTTCTACCCGTGTGTGTGATTTGCATTGTGGTTTTGGTAGCTATATGAGGTTGTATCTGTGCAAATGTCCCTGAGGAAAAGGTGAAAACTTATTTTCTGGGTGTTATTTTTATCCAAACGTGGTGTATGAATTCCTCCTTGACTGTTGGAATTTCTCACCTCACTATTTGTGTGTTCTGTGCTTGTGTGGAATGTTCAGATTCCTCAGAGATTTGTAGGAGCTGGGAGGTGTCTGGCATGCTTGGAGAACCTGGAAACACCCAGTAGCTTTTCATGCTCAGCAGAGGGTGACAGGCCTGTAGTGATGCTCAGAGCTCTGTGGGCAGCTCACAAGGGCAGTGGCACTGAGGGGTGACTTGCAGTGCTGCTGCCAGCCCAGAGATCAGCAAGAGTTGTGCTGTGTTCCCTGGTGTTTTATTTGTGCGTGTAGTGCCTGAGATGGTACCTGAAAGTGACTGTACATACATTTACAAACAGGTTGATCAGCACAGATGCCACAGCCCGAGGGATTGATGTGAAAGGAGTGAATTATGTGATAAACTATGATGCACCCCAGTTCATCAGGACCTACATTCACCGGTAAGACAGCAGGAACAAGAGGAACATGTCTGAGCTTGGTTGATTTTGAAATATTTAGCATAGGTGACATGCATTTAAAAGGGCTTTTAGCTTTTCTTTTTACTTTAAAATGCAAATAACTTTCTGGCAAAAATTAAGCCTAGCATTGCTTGGAATCAGAGTTTCTTAAAACTGGAGAATTTCAGCATCAAAATCTCAAAATTGATAATGGCACTGACTATGGGGCTAAACTGACTTGAAGCTGCTTTCTTTGTTTTCAGGGTTGGAAGAACAGCTCGTGCAGGAGAAACAGGTGTTGCTTTCAGCTTGGTCCTTAGAATTCAGGTATGTCTTTGGTGTGGTGTCACAGACGTCTTTTATGAAAAATCCTTTCATTAGGATTTTTCTCTTGAGAAGCTGAGAGGCCTCAGGAACAAAGTGTAAACAATGATTATCTGCTGCTGTGGAATGCAACAGGTGCATCTTTGATTGGTCTCATGTTGTTTTTAATTAATGGCCAATCACAGTCCAGCTGTCTCAGACTCTGGTCAGTCACAAGATTTTATTATCATTCCATTTTTTTCTTTCCTTGCTAGCCTTCTGATGAATCCTTGCTTTTATTCTTTTAGTACAGTTTTAATATATAATTTTCTTTTAATATAATATATATAATAAAATAATAAATCAGCCTTCTGAAACATGGAGCCTCCATTCTCACCTCTTCCCTCATCCTGGAACCCCTGCAAACACCACCACAGTGTGGGATTCATTTGATAAGGATGCACCCAGGGGCATAAAGATCACAAAGTTCCTACTACTTCCCACCTTTTCCAGTCAGCTGAGCTTTGTGCTTGGAAGCTTCAGTTGTTTCCTGAGTAAGCAGATGTTCCCAAATGTGCTGATTTTGTAGCTGCTGGGCAGGGGGTGTCCCATCTCATCTCCAGTGTCTGTCCTTGCAGGAGCGGCGCTTCCTGCGGATGCTGAGGGATGCTGGCATCCAGGACATCCAGAAACACCCGGTGAAGGGCAACTCCCTGAAGCCACTGGTGCAGCAATATGAGGGAGCTCTGTGTAAGCTGGAGAAGACAGTCAAGGTAACTGAAATGGGGAAGAAAATAAACTGTGCAAGTTGCAGTTTGATTTTTTTATTGCAATTCATGCTTAGCACAAGTGTTGGAGTCCAGGATCCTTTCCTCCATCTGAGATAGCACCAGTTCAGCATTGGTGAAGGCAGCACTGGTGGGTGCATTGTTATGGAATGCTCTGAAAGGCTGGGCAGGGGAGAAAGGTTTTCTGTCAAAGTTAGGCAGCATTCCTGGAGGGGTTTAAAGGATGTGTAGATGTGGCACTTGGGGATAGGATTTAGTGGTAGGCTTGGCAGTGCCAGGTAAGTGGGTGGATTCAATGGTGTTAAAGGCCTTTTTCAACCAAAACAAATCTGATTTTTGGTGGGTTTTTTCTATTCTGCCCTTCTCTTTACCTCTATAGCTGGGACTTTGACAGCTGGGATTTTGTAGTTGGAATTTTTGATCTTAGAGGTCTCTTCCAGCCTCATTATTCTGTGATTCAGCTACCCAGAGTACTGCAAGCAAAGTGCAGAGATTAAACCTTTTGTCATTACAAAGTTCAAGGTTGTAATGTACAGCTGTCTGCAGGCCCTTTTTTGTACACCAGTGTGAAGCTGAGAACCTTGACACAAAAGCAGGGTAGCATTTGCCTTGCCAGATGGGTGGACTAGGGATCCTTAACAGACTTTGTGCTGCATGATTTGGGCAAAGTGTTCTGCTCCCTAATCTGAGAACTCATAAATACCTGGCCCTGAAAAATGGTGATTTTGAGTTGTAGACTAGGAATATTTGAGAACTGGGACAGAAAGGTTTAATAATAAATTTATTAAATTATCCTGTTCCTACCTGAAGTCTCTTCTGTGGGACTCTGGGACAGGGGCATCTTCAGTCACCTTGTCAACTTTAATTTTGAACAGAATGAGCGAGCACAGAGGCGAGCCTGAGGCGTGGAAGCTGAGGTGGCACTGAAGCTGCTGCGTGGGACAGGCCATGGCTGCTCCCAGCTCTGAGTCATGGCCCCTCAGTTCCTCAACCTTATCATATCTCATGTCAGCTGTTGCCTTATTCCTCTTTCAAGGACACTGTGAACAGAGTTCAGTTGCTGGTTTAAAAAAAAGAAAAAAAGATAAATTTTGAGGTACATGTTATCATGAAGAGGACTTTGCATCATATGCTGCTGGCATGTGGAAATTACCACCAGCCTGAGCGTGGCCTGATGGAGCTGCTGTGCTCCAGTGGTGAGGGCTGGCCCTCATTCCTGCCCTGGGACACTGGTTCTGTGTCTGCAGATGCATCAACACCTGTGCAGTGCTTAAAGCAGAAATGGGTTTGAAGAGCTGCTCTAGGTGCCCTGACTCCAACTTTTAAGTAAATATTAAATAAATATTATATATATTTTTAAAACAGTGTCTAATAAAGATTCCTGGGCTCAGGAATTGGACTTTATGATCTTTGTGGGTCCCTTCCAACTCACAGTGTGAGATATTGCTGAAAGGACTTTTCCCTGTGCCTTGTCCTTTTCTTGCCTATGTTGTTTCCCTCTAATGTTCTACACCAGAGGTAACAGCAGGTATTGTTAAGTGTATATTGATGTTAATGCAGGCTGAAATGTCTGATATCTAATTTGACTGTCCTGGAGCCAGCTGGTGTCACTGCAAGCCATAAGTCTGAATTTGACACATGCCGTGGTATTTTTAGCTGTCCTGGCAGAAGCCTTGGAACTGCCATGTAGCTGTGGCCTGCAACTACTCTCCAAGGGCTACTTTTCCTTCATGAATGCCTCCAGCTCTGGCTTATTGTTTTGCAAAGCAAAATCAACATACACCAGCATTAGCAGTAAATGGATTGAAAGCTGAGAATCTTGCAGAAATGGGATTTGGGACTGGCGGTTGAATCTTGTGAAGATAGGAGCAAGGTTGTGTCATAGCAGTGAAGCAGTGTGGGTTCTCCTGCTGTGCCTGCTTGCTCTCCAGTTTTTCCTTAGCACGGGAGTCACAGGAACGGGAATTCCTCTTGTGCGAGAGCTGTGAGGTGGCAGGGGCAGATCCAGGATGTGCCGCTCACACCCCCTCAGCCGGGCTGTGCTTTCCGTACACTCAGGGC